ATTTGACTTGGCAAGGGAAGTTTATTGTTAATTCAGCCTATAAGGAATTCAACTTCTCAGCTAACTGGATTGGTTGTTGGCCATAGAAGTTGATTTGGAAAGTTAAAATTCCTTATAGAGTTGCTTGTTTCTCTTGGCTTTTGGCTAAAGAGGCAGTTCTGACGCATGATAATCTAACCAAGAGAGATTACCATTTATGTTCAAGATGTTATTTATGTGAAGAGCAGGCAGAGACAACCAATCCACTTTTTTTTGCATTGTAAGTTCACTGCAGTTATGGAGGATTTTCATTAGTTTAAAGGGTATCATGTGGGCTATGCGTAGAAGTATACCTGAAGTTCTAGCATACTGGAAAAAAGAAAGAAATCTTTCCAATTATAAAAAGAGATGGAGGATTATCCTAGCTTGCATCTGGTGGACCATTTGGGAAGAAAGAAATCAAAGATGCTTCAAAGATAAATCAGTCATATTCAGATAATTAAAATGAAGTGGCTAGTCTTGTTTTATTTTTGGTGTTAAGTGTTAGATAGTTATGTATTATGTATAAGTTGTCTAGTCCCACATTGGAACGGGAGTAATATGTACTATGTAGAGTATAGCTATAAATAGGACTTCTTGTACTTTATTGTAGAGAATATATTAATAATATATTTTTCCCGTGTTGTCTCACATGGTATCAGAGAAACCGTGAGATATCAGTCGTTGTGAAAAATACCAGCGGCTTCGGGAAGAAAAAAATCAATCAACTGCTAGGTATATTAGTCTTCGGCGACCGATCCATTAAATTTCTCTGGCAAAGAACCACTCATGGGCCCTCACGCGCCCACCGAAAGAAATATTTCCGGCGAGGTTCCAATTTCATGCGCCCGCGCGTGAGGCAGTTTCCGGTCAAATTTTGACAAAGGTCCTTTTTGACAGTTTGTTCACCCTGTAATTCCCAGTCTATCCATCATTTTTTTTATTTCGATCACTTCGCAATTTCTCGGGCAGCTACAGTGATTTTTCCGGCAGAAGCGGTGTTTCCTTTGCCTGCTTCAGCGAGATACAGTTGATTATTTCTATTATTTGTTTCTAGACCTCTCTCCAATCCAACGATGTCTTTGGAATTTGATGTATTTGGTTCTGAAAACACGAGTTCTAGAAAGTCAAGCTTCATGATTACTTTAGAGCCATTAATGGGGAGTTCAAACTATTTAGCTTGGGTTTCCTCTGTTGAATTGTGGTGTAAAGGTCAAGGTGTTCGAGATCACTTAATCAAAAAGGCTAGTGAGGGCTGTGAAAAGGTCAATTTAAGCAGTTTATGACGTCTGTATACCACTCAGCAGAATAGGATAGCAAAGAAAGAATATGCACATCATTGAGACTGCTCGCACACTTCTCATTGAGTCTCACGTTCTGCTACATTTTCTGAGCGATGCAGTTCTAACGGCTTGTTATTTGATTAATCGGATGCCTTTATCTTCCATCCAGAATCAGATTCTGCAGTTAGTATTGTTTTCTCAGTCACCCTTATACTTTTTTCGTCCTCGTGCTTTTGGGAGCATGTGTTTGTTCATAACTTAGCTCCCGAAAAAAATAAGTTAGCTCCTCGTGCTCTCAAGTGTGTCTTCCTTGGATATTCCCGAGTTTAAAAGTGATATTGTTGCTACTCACCTGATCGTAGGTACCTTATGTCAGTTGATGTTGCATTTTTTGAGTCTAGACCTTACTTTACCTCTTCTGACCACCTTGATATATATATGAGGTCTTACCTATACCGACTCTTGAGGGGTTTACTATAGCTCCTCCTCTACATACTGAGCCACAGAAATCTTACTCATACCTACCATTGGGGAATCTAGTGTTGCTCCTCCTAGATCCCCAGCTACAGGAACACTTTTAACTTATCGTCGTCGTCCGCGCCCAGCATCATGTCCAGCTGATTCACGTTCTGCACCTGCTCCTACTGCGGACTAGTCTCATCCTAATCTACCAATTGCACTTCGGAAAGGTATATAGTCCACACTTAATCCTAATCCATATTATGTCGGTTTGAGTTATCATCGTGTCATCACCTCATTATGCTTTTATAACTTCTTTGTCCACTGTTTCAATTCATAAGTTTACAGGTGAAGCACTGTCACATCCAGGATGGCAACATGCTATGATTGACGAGATGTCTGCTTTACATACGAGTAGTACTTGTGAACTTGTTCCTCTTCCTTCAGGCAAATCTACTGTTGGTTATCGTTGGGTTTATGCCGTCAAAGTTGGTCCAGATGACCAGATTGCCAAAGGGTATAGTCAAATATTTGGGGCTTGGTTACAGTGATATTTTCTCTCCCGTGGCTAAAATACCATCAGTTCATCTCTTTATATCCATGGTTGTTGTTCGTCATTGGCATCTCTATCAGTTTGACATTAAGAATGTTTTTCTTCACAGTGAGATTGAGGATGAAGTTTATATGAATTAACCACCTAATTTTGTTGCTTAGGGGGAGTCTAGTGGCTTTGTATGTTGGTTGCCTCAGACGCTCTATGGTCTAAAGTAATCTCCTCGAGCCTTGTTTAGTAAGTTGAGCACAGTTATTCGGGAATTTGGCCAACTCGTAGTGAAGCTTATCACTTTGTGCTTTATTGGCATTTTACTTCAAATCTCTGTATTTATTTGGTGGTTTATGTTGACGATATTGTTATTACCGGCAATGAACAGGATGGTATTACTGAGTTGAAGCAACATCTCTTTCAGCACTTTTAGACTAAGGATCTGAGTAGATTGAAGTATTTTTTAGGTATTGTGATTGCTCAGTCTAGCTTAGGTTTTGTTATTTCACATTGGAAGTAGAAAAACTTCAATCATTTTTCTTTATTTGAAAGGAAGAAAAAAAAGGTAATATCTAGACCTAAATATTAATCTGAAGACAAGTGAGGCTTGCTCAGTTGGTAAAAGCACCTCCACCTACGATCGTTAGGTCCTGGGTTCGAGTCACCATGGAGGGGAAGTGTGGAAACACTATAGATCCTCCTAATTTGGGAGGGGGAAAAAAATATTAATCTGAATTGACATGAATCTCAATGACAATGACCAACGATTTCCTGCAATTCTTTTCAGTATGGAATGAATAAAAAATCAAGCTACAAGTCTCTATTAAACGAAATGCACTAACAGGGATCACTCTCAAGAAAGGAAGTGGTTTTGGTTGTTGTTATTCCAGGTTGGATAAATCACTTTCTTTATAAATATCATAAAAGACAAGGGCTTTCTTGCTTCAGCACATGTGGGAAATGCCGGGGGGCTTGGCTGGTACCAAGCTCGAGCGGTCTTTCTATCTTTTTGGATTGCATGCCCAAGGCAATGCTTTTTGTAGATTGGGATGGATTGATCTTCGCAGAAGTATGCTTTAGACATTCTTGAGGAGACAGGAATGACGGATTGTAGACCCATTGACACACCTATGGATCCAAATGCCACACTTCTACCAGGATAGGGGGAGCCTCTTAGTGATCCTGCAAGATATAGGCGGCTGGTTGGCAAGTTGAATTACCTCACAGTAACTAGACCTTATATATCCTTTCCTGTGAGTGTTGTAAGTCAGTTTATGGACTCTCCTTGTGATAGTCATTGGGATGTGGTTTTCCGAATTCTTCGATATAAAATCAGCTCCAAGCAAAGAACTGTTGTTCGAGGATCGAGGCCCATGAGCAGATGTTGATTGGGCACGATCACCTTCTAATAGACATTCTATATCTGGATATTGTATGTTAATAGGAGTTAATTTGGTGTCTTGGAAGATCAAGACGTAAAATGTAGTTGATCGGTCTAGTGCGGAAGCAAATAATCGAGCAATTGTTATGGTAACACGTGAGCTAGTTTGGATCAAACAACTGCTCAAAGAATTGAAATTTGGAGAAATTGATGGAACCAGTGTGTAATAATCAAGCAGCTCTTCATATTGCGTCAAATCCGGTGTTCCATGACAGAATTAAACACATTGAGATTGACTCTCACTTTGCCGGAGAAAAGATACTCTCAGGAGATACCGTTACAAAGATTGTGAAGTCGAATGATCAGCTTAGAGATATTTTTACCAAGTCCCTTGCTGGTCCTCGTATTAGTTATATTTGTAGCAAACTCGGTATATATGATTTATATGCACCAACTTAAGGGAGAGTGTGAGATAGTTATGTACAACAAAATACCCGGTATAATCCCACAAGTGGGGTATGGAGGGTAGTGTATACGTAGAGCTTACCCTTACCCTGTGAAGGTAGAGAAGCTGTTTCCAAATACCCTCGGCTCCAGTACAAATGAAAAGGAGCAGTAGCAACAAGCAGTAACAACAATGATATAGTAAAATAACTGAAGAAAGAAATAACATGTAGACATATAACTCCACTAACAAACATGCAAGGTTAATACTATTGCCACGAGAATGGCAAAGGAATGTTAGATAGTTATGTATTATATGTATATTAATAGTCTAGTCTCACGTTGGAATAGGAGTAATATGTACTATGTAGAGTATAGCTATAACTAGGACTTCTTGTAATATATTGCATAGAGATATCAATAATATATTTTTCCTGTGCTTTCTCACGTAAAGGAATGTAATGTACTTAGAAGATCATGAATCTATCTTTGATGTTTTAGACACCTCGTGAGAACACAAAGGTTTAGGAACTTTATTGTGTTCTTTGTAATTATGGGTGACTGCCAATATGTTACCTTTTCATAAAAATGATTATTTGGCCATTGGATTAGTTTCAACAGCCTCTCTGCCCCTCCGGGTAGGGGTAAGGTCTGCGTACATATTACCCTCTCCAGACCCCACTTGTGGGATTATACTGGGTTGTTGTTGTTGTTGTTGTGGATTAGTTTCAACAATTTTGATAGTTCTTTTATTTGAATCAAACTACTCATTCACATGGATTTTGTATCGTATCATTGAGTTAAAAAAATTGGTTTTGCTAATTTATCCTCATGTATAACAACTACCTATTTTTCAATATATTGGATTCAGGAGCTTGTAGTAGCTGGAGTTTGCTCTTCAAAGGGCAATAAGTGCCGGGTATCATGCACAGTGACTCCAAATACAGATCTCCTTTCTGCTCTAACTCTTATGGAGAAACATGATCTAAGTCAGCTACCTGTTATACTAGGGGACGTGGAGGATGAAGGCATCCATCCTGTGGGCATTTTGGACAGAGAATGCATCAATGTAGCTTGCAGGTTTTTGACATTCAACTTTTACTTCAAAGATATAATGCTTTCTGGAACCATTGATGATAAAATATGCAAGAAACTTGTGCAGAAGTCGCACTTTACTATCGATTACCAGATAAAGTTACTTATCAAGAAGTCAAATATATTGAACATATTTCTCTAAAACACTTTGACTGGACTGTAAGCAGAAACTTACTAAAGTAGGTCGTAAGAAATGGTTTGATAGGGAAATCACCATCTACACTTAAAAGAGTTGTGTGAATTTGAATTCTTAAAGCATGTGAAAGTTATAAAAACTTGTTATTATCTAAGCATCTGAAGCATTTTGGCCATCCAAAGGATCAAAAATAGGAAATAATTTCATTTGTACAATGAACTCCCTGCACAAATTCTCACACTAGGTGTATTCTCTATTCATCACTAGCACTACATGTGTCACTACGAATCATATACAATAAATCTTTGTAACATAAAAGACGACACATAATATGGAAGTAAGCCGAGTATACAAGGGAAGTTTCATCATTACGGTGAGCTTTTTATAAGATAATCAAGTTTTACTGGAAAAGGGCAAAAACTCTCCCGTATAGAAGTATACCAAAAAGTAGAATACCTTACAAAAATATGATTTTCTATGAACAACACCCTATCTTCTATACTTGTAGGGATCTCATCGGGGCACCAAAAAGAGATAAAGGGATAAGAGGCTTTTCCTCAAATGTACAAAATCCTTCTCTATTCCTTCAAAAGCTCTCCTATTTCTCTCTCTGCACACTGTCCACATAAGTTCAATGGAGCAACATCCACGCCCTGTGTCTTCTTTTCCGTCTTCTATAGGTCCAGCTGAACATGGCTTCTTTGACTGAGTGTGGCATCAACGTTGAAGACCAAACCATCCCAGTACTTCCAACCACAAACGAGACACTATATGACAATTTAGAAGAAGATGATTCACATCTTCTCCCGAACATTTACACATAAAACACCAGCTGATACATGTAATCTTCCTCTTCCTCAAATTATCAGCCGTCAGGATCACCCGTCTCGTAGCTAACTAGGTGAAGAAGCACACCTTTCTCGAAAACCTCAGGATCCATACAGAGAGATATGGAAAAGCTGATTCCTCCATGCCCAGAAGCTTCTCATAATAAGACTTAACAAAGAAACACCACTATTCCCCCCCC